GCCCCTGCTCTGCCATCTGAACAGTTATCGCCCAGATGTGCTCCTTGTGCTGGCCCACTTTGAACTGTCAACACATGTACTCTTGGCCTTAAATGGCCAAGAGGTCAGCCACCTCATCTGCCCTCCAGATGGGTCCCCAGTACTGACCCTGGACAGGCTCCTCTGCATGGGTCTTGCCACTTGTGTCACCAGCAGATATCCTGGTGTTCCCCGTTACCAACTGCAAATACTCTGATAAGAAACGCAAATTCGCTCATTAAAATATACAAAATAGTGTTCTTCCGCTATTAAAATGAACACTATATATGGGAGATCAGCTGGGCAGTGCTTTATTGATATATTTACAAATGTAAAGCAATTGAGGGGAGGGATTGGGGGAGTTTGTGGGAGTGGCTTGGGAATGTGGGTGGATTGTGGGCACACTGCTCAGGAGGGATGGGTCCCCAGCCCCCACCCCCCAGACAGCACACAGGCTGTCTTCCTCACAGGGCCCACAGACCCCCTTACAGGGCCATAACATCCCTTCACAGGGCACATGCCCCGCATGGTCCTCATGCGCCCCTCCCCGCAGTAGCAGTAGCTGTTGGGAGCTTAGGGCCTGCTGCTGTCAGAGCCCCCAGCAGCGCAGTGTAGTTCCAACTTCCTCAGAGCCAGTACTGCCTGTCGCAGGGCTAGCCCAGCTTGGCGTGGGGCCATGTGGCTTCAGGCAGTACCTGGGGCCTGCAGGCTGTGAGCCCTGCACAGGACCCACCCACCCTGACCACTCCCCTCACCCTCACCCCCTACTTACCAGGGACAGTGCCCAAGTCACAGCCTTGCACCACTGCTGCTTGCCTCGCACATGAATGCAGCATGCTAGAGCAGCAGGGGGCACCATAGAGCCAGATGCCAGTGTCTCTGGAAGCCTGAGCCATGGGCTGATGCCAGAGGTCTCTGGAGGCCTGAGCCCCAGCTTGCCTCAGGGCACAGTGGGGAACCGTACTCTGTGCCACTTTTTTCCAGGGTGTTTATTTCATACCTGGATCAAGTTTTGAGCCCACGCTGCAAACATGCAGTGCAGGGAACACATTTTTTCATTCGCAGCGTGCCTCCTGCGGCATTTCAGACTGGTTTGAGATGCTGCAAGAAGCACGTGTGTGCTTGCCTGGACACACCCATTAAGTCTGCACTGACACTTGCAGGATGTCCAGGAAGGGTGGTTGTTCTCCAGGGAAGCAATCCTTCAGGCACAGAAAGAGGCAATCCCACTGTGTAGAAAAGGGGGCAAAGGGGCTAAGAAACCCTCCTGGCTAAGCAGGGAAATAGAGGAAAGCCTTAGGGCAAAAAAGGGGCATACAGGCTGTGGAGGCAGGGGGTAGCTACCAAGGAGGAGTATACCTCCTTGGCTCACACTTGCAGGGAATCAGTTAGGAAGGCCAAAGACTGTTAAAGACAAAAAGCAGCCATGTTCAGTTGATTTTAAAAATTTAAAAGACCTTTTGCTACCTTTTCTGTGTTGTTAACAAACATTACTCACTTAGCTTTTAGTTGCAATTTTTATCTGAAATATTTCTAGCTCCACCCACTTTGTTAAAACTAATAATTCATATTCAGAAATAGGGATGGGCAATTATTTGGGCTGGAGGACCACTTAAGGAGTTTTGGTGAACTGTCATGGGCTAGGTCAGCAGCACCTACCTCTCCACCACCCCAACAACTCACCAAAATTCCTTAAGTGGCTCTGTCCCACATTCAGCCAGGCAGACAGGATGCCATAGGTGGGTGGGCGGGCAGGAAGCAGGACCAGGACCAGGACTGCAGGCCCATGATAGTGTGGGACTGAGGCCTAGGGCAGAGCCACGGTCTACTCCCTGCACGCCAGTTCCACGGCCAGCAGCACGCAGGGAGTGGGTCGCAGCTCTACCCCAGGCCCCAGCCCTGCACTATGACCACTCAAGAGATCCCCAGGTCTCCATGGAGATTGACGCAGAACCTGTATAGGTAGGGCACATTTGGATGGGTGGAGGGGATGTGGCCATGGAAGGGCAGGGAGCTGTGTCTGGGAGTGGGATGGGTAGGACCAGAGCCAGGATTGGGATTACAGGGTGGCATAAGCAGTGGAAGGTCAGGGTTAACCCCCTTCCAAGGCAGGGCAGCAGGTAGGGCCACAGGGCAGCCTAGGTATGGGCTCCAGGTGGCTGCAGCTGGTGGGGGAGGAGGTAGTGGGGAGGACAGACTCAAGACACTCACAGCTGGGCATGTGTATTACTGCCCAGCATGGCAGGCAAGTCTCAGTTTGTGAAGGGGAAGGGACGCTTGCGGGGGGGTGGGAGGGGTGGGCACAGATTGAGCCCCCCACAGTAAGGGACTGAGTGAGGCAGGGGCAGGGTGAACAGGGCCCTGGGGCAGGTTGTGGGACTATTGGAGCCCCGGGCAGCTTGCCCAGGGATGCAGAGGGCTCCTGCCACTGCGTGCACCCTAGGGGACATATGGCAGGACATGTGCCACCTGGATTTGTGCGTGGGGCGGAGGCGAGCTGCCACTAAAGGCTGGGCTCTGTGCCTCTCTGCCTTTGCTGCAGGAACTGTGTGACCAATGCTCTGTGCCTTGCCAGGCAGGTAGGGGATGTGGCGCAGGCTGGGGGCGGCAGGCACATGGTATCACACAGGTCTGAGGCAGCAGCAATAGGGCGCAGAGGGAAGCCCGCCTCCACCTTGTGCTCAAATCCAGGAGGCATGTGCCCCCATGCCTCCCCTGCAGTGCATGCAGTGGCAGGAGCCTCCCTGCATCCATGGATGACCCGCCCCGACCCTGAGGCCCCATTCACCCCAGCCCCTGCCTCACTCAGTCCCTCAATATGGCACGCTCAGCCCCCTGCCAATAATATTTTCTCCCTCCACCTATGCAGAAAAGTGACAGTGTAGGGCTGGGGCAGAGCCATATTCTGCTCCCCATGTGCCCCTGCTCATGGAACCACTGCCTGTTGCAGGAATGTGGGCAGTGGATCATGGCTGTGCCCAGACTCTGGCTCCACCCCATGATTCCAATCCCAGCCCCAGCCCTGTCCACACAAGCCACTCCCCAATGCCTCTCCCCACCCACATGCATCTCCATCTCATCTGCCCAGCTGACAATGTCCTACTTGTGGGGGTCCTGGGCTGGTCTCCATAGAGACCCTGCCCACCCACTCTGTCTGGCACTCCTAGTGGTGGGTGCAGGGCTGATGGGCCAGGGTGCCTGAAATCAGAAGCCGGTAGCAGCACCTGGAAGGAGCTGCCACTGTGCAGACTACCAGGAAGCAAGTCCAGCTGCTGCACCACCACAGTCCTGCTGTGCGCTAGGAGGCAGTGGGACTGGCTGCATACGCCATGGCCCAGTTTGCCCAAGCCTGAGCCAAGCAGGTCTGAGAGGCCTGCCACAGGCTGTATTTTTCCCAACCTTGTCCAAGAACTTTAAAGAGTCTAGATATTTACATTAAGAGCCAAACTATGACAATGCAGCTGTAGCAGAACAGCTGTGAGATGCATGACAATTCTGAGTTTAGTCATGGTGACTGCTGTATCAGCAAAACAGGCTACCATGTATGAAAATATTATGGTTACAGATATCTGAATGTAGACCAATCATGAGTTGAGCACAAGTTGCATACAAAGCGAAGATGGGGAAACGTCTTAAGTAGGGGTGTACCAATAGAGATTTTGGGGTCCAATACCGACAGCTAATTCTTAAGGAGGCATATCAACCAATACCGATCCGATTTCTGATACAGCTGCGTGCAGCTGATAAGTCTGTTGTGGTGGAAGGGGGGGAGGGGAGGGGCATTGGAGGGGCGCAGATCAACACGCCTCGCAGTGAGGGAGGGAGGGGGCAGGCACTGCCCAGCCAGGGTGGGGCAGGGCACGGGACTGAGATGCAGCTCACTGCGGGGGAGGAGGGGCTTCCACCGCTGTGTACACCCCGAGAGGGCATCAAGGGAGGGGGCACTTGCCCTGGGATCTGTATGGGGCAGGCAGACTGCAGCTGTGGGCTGGAGCCAGGCCTGC